CAGGCTGACTCCCCAAGCAGGATTACCTAAGCAATCAATCTAGAATACACCAAAATGACTACTAGGCTGACTTAATTATTTAGGGGGTTTGGCAAATTTGCTTAATTTAGTTGACCCAATTCTGAAAGATCTAGCGGCGTCGGCAAGAGTCGAACCGTCTCCTTTGAGCCTGCGATGTTGCTAGATATCACAGTGGGCACATCCATTGGTATTAGCACTATTTGAATAATGCATCAATTGCACGTTGTATCGCATTATATACGCTGCACATAATGCCTTCTACTGAATGTTGAATTTCCCTTTAGAAAGGACCAGAAGACCTGGAAGAAAGTGGAAATTTCTGTCAGCAGTGCGAACGAAATGCGTCGAAGATGGATTATTTTGCTGCTACTTGCGGCCTTCATGATTTTATACCTTATCTTTGAACGCCAGTTCCTCAAAAAAGCAAATCTTCGTTTTACAATGAACCTGCAACAGCTGACGATACAGAGTTTTATCGTGGATTGCAATCGCACGAAGCAGAAGCGTCAGAATTTACCAAACCTAGGGAGTATGATTTGGCCTAAACGGGAATTTTTACCTATTCCGATCGGTGCACCGGGCTGCCATCAAGTACCCCTTGGAACCGCAACTTAGTCGCGGACAGATGCGCCTAACTTGGAAACTTTTCGATATATTTGTAGATGCCATGGAGGAGCTTGGTTTGAGTGACAAGTGGATGATCTACGCTGGCAGTCTGGTGGGATCTTTTCGGCATCACGATATCACGCCTTGGGACGATGATCTGGATGTTCTCGTTGATTTTGCAGTAAGACCGCTAATGGTGGAGAAGTTGAGAACGCTTGCACCCGAAATTATAATTGGCGAGGCTGGTTTGAGAGACAAGTTATACACAAAATATATTGAACCGAGCAATATCTCGCAGGACGTCGAAGGCAGTCGCAAGCTGAGTTCGTATGATTGGGGTTGGCCCTGCGTTGATATCCGTTACTTCCTCTCTAATTCCACTCACTTTCGCATGTTTATGCTTCACAAACAGTGAGTTTGTACCTTTTTATGCTGACAGACTAATGCCACTTTTTTTCGAATATGTCTATCTGTACACTTGAAAAAATGTCGTGGTATTTTCAGGGCGAATAACCTGTTAATTGGTTACTAACTTATATT